TTTTCAATGCTGTTAGAGTTTGTTTTATGTATTTTGGAGACCTTTTGTTGGGTGTCTAGATATTTATTAAGGTTATGTCTTCTTGGTGGATTCTCCCTTTAATCATTATATAATGTCTTTATTGTCTTTTATGGTGGATTTTGCCTTAAAGTCTGTTTTATCTGAGATTAGTATTGCCGCTTCTTCTCTTTTTCAGTTACTATTTGCTTGTTATGTATTTTTTCCATGCTTTGATTCTTAATATATTTATGTCTTTGTGTCTTAGGTGTGTCTCTTGTAGACAGCATATTGATGGGTCATGTTTTTTATCCATTTTACCATCCTTTGTCTCATTACGAGTGCATTTAAACCACTTACATTCTGTGTGATTATTGATAGATATGAGTTTATTGCTGTCATGTTGTTGTTATTTTTTTTTTTTTGTGGTGCTGGGGTTTATTTGTTCCTCTTACTTTCCTGTGCTGAGTTCCTTTTGTTTGTGGATTTTGTTTTCTTTTCTTTCATTATCATAGATTTTGTGTTTACCGAGTCCTTATGTTTTTGTTCTTTCTTATTTTGATGAGTAGGTTTATTAACTTTCTTTGTGGTTACCTTGAAACTTACATTTACCTCCCCAAGTTTGAATTAGTCTTTTATTAGTTTATATTGCCTTGACTTCCTCTCCATTTGAAGTTCTATTCCTAAACCATTTATTCCCCATTTGATTGTTTTGACAATGTTCTCATTTACAGATTGACGTCTCTGTTTCCCTGTTTTAATTCTTTTAGCTTTGTTTATTGTGAGAGTTCTTTACCTCAGTTGGTATCTAGCTGATGTTGTGCTCTGTCCTAGACTCAGGTTGTTGTCCGATGTTGTAGATTCTCTAACCAGAGGACTCCTTTTACTAGTTCTTGTCATTTTGGTTTGGTTTTTATGAATTCTCTTAATTTCTGTTTATCTGAGAATGTCCTAATTTTACCATCATATTTGAGACAAAGTTTTGCACGATATATTATTCTTGGTTGACAGTTTTTTTTTCTTTCAAGGATTTATATATGTCATCCCATTGCCTTCTTGCCTGAATAGTTTCTGTCAAGTAATCAGAGGTTAGTCTTATTCTTATCCCTTTGTAAGTGACTTTTTGTTTTTGTCAAGCTATTCTCAGAATTTTTTCTTTGTCTTTGGTTTTGGCAAGTGTTATTATGATATGGCTTAGGGACTTTGTTTTGGGGTCTCTCCTATATGGAATTCGTTGAGCTTCTTAGATGGTCAGCTTTTTGTCTTTTATGATATTTGGGAAGTTTTCTGCCAGTAAATCGTCAACAATCTTTGTGTTTTCCGTTTTCTCCTCCTATTTTGGAACTCTGACCATGTGAAATTTTTGCTCTTGATTGTTTTGCTCCACATAATTCTTAGGTTTTCTTTATTCTTTTCTCTGATTTTTCCTGAAATAAGGTGCTATCCATGGATTTGTCTTCAGTCTCACTGATTCTGTCTTTCATTGTTTCAAATTTGTTCCTAAAACCTTCTATTGAGTTATCTATTTCTGAAACTTTGTTGTTTATCTTTTGGATTTCTAGTTATTATTTTTGTATGACTTCTAATTCTTTATTTATTTTGTTGTTTTGTTCTTGCATTATTTTTCTGAATTCTTCTATTTCTTCGTGTTTTCCTTGATTTTGTCTATATTTTCATTGGTTTTGTCTGTGTTTTCCATAATTTTGTCTATTTTTTCCTTGTTTTTGTCTGTGTTTTCCTTGTTCTCCTTTTTAAATCTCTTGGAGAGCCCTAAATATTTGTCTTTTGAATTCCATATCAGATAATTCCACTGTCTTTTCTTCTACCAGTAGGTTATCTGATTCTTTATTTTGGTCACTTGCTGGAGCCATCTTCTTTTTTTTCTTTTTTTTTTTTTTAATTGTTGTAGTTTAGATGAAGTTTACACTTCAAATTAGTCTTCCATACAAAAATTTATACATACATTGTTATATGACCCTAATTGCTCTCCCCATACTGTGACAGCACACTCCTCCTTTCCACCCGATTCCCCATGTCCATTCAACCAGCTCCTAACCCTCTCTGCCTTCCCATCTC